CAATACATTCCAAGGAAGCACTCCCTGCAGGGAATGTGGTGCCCCGCCTCCCCCCAGCACCTCGGTAACAGTTGCATTTTCAGCTGCAATGCATTCCCCGAGGGAGTGCTCCCTACAGGAAATGCGGTGCCCCCAGCACCTTCATGCAGCTCATCGTGGTGCTCTTTGTTTTACCTGAATCTTTTTTCAGTGGAAACTGTTACTGATCTTCCTTTGATAGAACCTCTTTTTTTGTTTGTTTTTTTTCTAAACTTGAGTTTAAAGGTTCTTGTTCTGTTGATAGGTACGGTAACACGCTTACAGCTAGCCCTCTCCCAAGTATCAGCACTTTAAAACAAATTCCAAATTTTTAAACTTGCTTCCTAGTAAGTGCACATAAGTCAGATTATTTTTAATGGAATATGGATGCATTGGTGTCAATTTTAAAAAATACATATTTTGGACAACTATATGTATGTAATGCTTTCAAAATAAGGTAAAAACATTTTATATGCTACAATATATTTGTTATAAGCTAAAAGTCCAGAAACATGCAAGATTGACAGTTCTTATTTTTTTCTTAAGTCACAGGAAAATATTTACTGATTTCTGTCTCCAAAGTGTTAAAATCATGCATTACTCATTTTTGCACTTAAAATTTTTCATATTTATTACAAGATGGTTTGAAGGTCCAAGAATGAAAATAAATTAGGGAGACTAATGTCTAAGTCATAAAGTATCATGTTGTATTAAAGACTTAGCTAAATGTTTATAAATGTGTCCTAATGAAATGTGTCAAGGATGCACCTGTCAGGTTGTTATAGAGTGACCTGTAGTTTAAACTTTTACCAAAATTTTAGACTTTTATTGAAGAGATTATTTAAAAATCCAAAGCATCAGCCATCAGATATTTATCTCTCTACAATTACATTTCACATAGTGATACACCTTGTATATGTTAACATTTTATTACTTTTTATAAGAAAAATAATCAAGAGTTAAAAATTCAAAGCCCTAATCACTCCAGTAAGATAATTTTAAGAATTGGGAAGCCCAGAGCTAGCCTGATGGAATGAAGGTTTGGTCCCTGGCATTCAGACAATGGCTGATCCAGTGACTTAGCTACTGAGGTGTTGTCAGTGGTGAATTCTGGGGTTCTGAAAGGCAGTGACCACTGCTGCTTTAGGCTCCCTGGCTCTGTAGACCAGGTAGGAAAAAAACGATAAATTGCAGCTTCAGACGTGGAATTTCTTAACATGTGAATATTTTGCTGGGTTACACTGGAGACAGGTGGACTACTGAAAATTGTTGCACTGGATTGTACTACTGAAAATTGTTGCACTGGATTGTACTACTGAAAATTGTTGCACTGGATTGTTTTAAGACTTCAATTTTTCTTTTAATGAATAGTAGAATCAGATTGTCCATTCCAAAATGTCTTTCCTCTGATCACAAAGAACAAATGCATCTCTTATGATGGTGGGGAAAAAAAGGAGTTAATAATTAATGCAAATAAACTTTTCACAATATTAGTTTTTCATGATGTGCCTTTTAATCTTGTTAATGAAATTAAGATCAGTATTTTTTTATAATCTTACATGCAGATTACTGTTTTGAAATGTAGGTATGTAAAATTATGTATTGCAAATTTTAAAAGTTTAAATTAGTAGTAGGGGTGTCATTCAGGAAGGTGTGATACCTCATCACTTAGGTGACATCTGAGATATGGTTCCCATCTTCAAGAAACCATTCATGAACTTGTCCTTAGTATACATTCTTTGGCAGAGCTGCAGTTTTGTATACTGGAGCTTAACATAATCAGAGAAGGCTGCATCCAGCAACTGATAGGGGCAGATGCCGAAACCCACAGCCAAACATTAGGCAGAGCTCGGGGAATCCAAGGAGGAGGAAGGATTTTAGGAGCCAGAGGGGTCAAGGACACTACAAGAACATGGCCCACAGATTCAATTAACCAGGTCTCATAGGGGCTCACAAGAGACTGAAGTGACAGTCAGGGAGCCTGTATGCGTCTGATAGGTCCTGTGCATGAACTAAGTTATGGTTGTATAGCTTGGTCTTCTTGTGGGTTTCGCTTGCTTTTGGGACTCTCTTGATACGAGGGTATAGGCCTGGTTTTATTGTAACTTGTTATGCCATATTTGGTTGATACCCTGAGAGCCTGCTCTTTTCTGAAGGTAAAGGAGCAGTAGTGGATCTGGGGGAGAGGGGAGGTTAGGGAAAGAGACCTGGAGAAGAGGAGGGGAAACTGCAGTAAATAAAAGCAGTGTACAGCAGGTATCATGGCTGAGTTAAGTACATGTTGATGGTTGGAAGCCTACATGATTATTAGCTAATAGCAAGCAGCTGAAGGCAAAACTAAAGCCCATGAATAAAATTGGGTTTTCAAGTCAAGTGCAGTGGTACATACATGTAGTCCATTCCAACTATCTGGGAGACTGAAGCAGCAGGATCAAGAGGACAGTTTAATGAGACCCTATGTAAAAAGTGGTTAGAAATGTACCACTTTGGTTTCGTGCTTGCCTTGTATGAGATGTTAGGTTCAACCTCTTTACTTTCCACTAAGTCTACAGAAGACAGATCTGGTTGAGTACAGGAAGACTGGAGAGTGGACCACTTTGCAGACAACTAACAATCAAATTTGCCCACGGAGAATTGGACAGGAAGTAATCACAAAGCTAGCAAAAATGAAGCTCAGCCAAAACCATGATTTGGTAAACTATGAAGCTGCAGGTTTATAAAAACATTGCATGCCAGAAACCTCAGACAGCATTAGCTGTCACCTACAAGTTTCACAGCATGTCAGCAGCCAATTTTTAGATCTCACTGCACAGTAGGGCTAGGTCAAAACAAAAAAAGCTGCTCCTTTCAGCTTGCTCTGGAACAGTACTTCTAACCTTGCCACATCCTCAACACATGCAAGTCTACAGGCATTCAGAGTCAGATCAGCTAGTTCCCAGTCATCAGGCTTTGAATGTTTTTCAAGTGAGTATGACTTTAGAACAGAAACATGTAACACAGTAACTCCACCTCTTGTCTGAAGGATGCTGCTGCCTGGGTGGTAAAATTTTGGAAAGCAATGTCAAGTTCAGCTTTTGTGTACCCCTTTGAGATGAAGCAGCAGCTCAAGACTTCTGAAGTGTCTTCAGCTTCCTAGTTGTCCTTCTGCAGGACACCCATGCTCCAAACTAACAAGTAACAAGATATAGGCCATTTCAGTCTGCTCTGTGGGATCCACCCTATTATAGCTGTCAGCCTCTCCTTCCACTGCCTAGATCCACTTGCAGTACCAGGTACAAAACTCAAGTCATTATGTCAAATCACATTCTAAAAACTAAAGCTTCTGCTTTTCTGATAGCTGCTATACTGATTCTTTGTAATGATAGACATTAATTTGGGTGCTTGCTAAGTATTTTAAAGTTTTTTGTTTTGTTTTTACATCCAGTACTAAAAAGTGAATTTACCTTCAGAAAGGTAAATCAATTTCTATCTAAAATACTGGAAAAGTAAAAACTTCATCTTGGGATAACATCCTGATTATTAAATATTTATAGCACTCCACTTGTGACCTTTAACCTTCAGTTTCTCATGCAAAAAAATGAAACTAAAAAACCCCATATTAGCAGTGAGTTTTAAAAAGAGGTACCATTCTTACATTAGTGGCATACTTTACAGAAATAACCTAGTAATACACTACCTTTTTTTTTTTTTGCAAAGAGCACACGGATAGCACTTCTCATTTTTATAGACACGATGTAGTCAGAATTCATCTTCCCATAAGGTGCAGATGCCATCCAAGAGAACTGAATACCTTAAGCCTATTTCTGGCACTCCATTACTGATTAGTTTTAAAATAGGAACTACCATCCACCAGCCCAGGGATATCTTATTTTAGCAAGGTGATGGTTCTACATCCCATGCTTGCCCCCCATCTCACTCAGGCTTACCATGGAGCCATCATCTTTCACTAATTACATAGCCTGAAGTTTTTCATGACTAAAAACTATGCAAAATAAATAAGGACAAACATTTTTCTAACAAAACCACTTTTATTTTAAAATTGTTTTACCACCAAATACAGAACTCAGTGTGGTGGCAGTGTCCACTTGGGTCCAACTATTTGTCAGCTAAGAGGCGTGCCAGTACAGTACCAACTTTATGCAGACTTCACCAAAGAAATGTCCTAAATAAATCTGCCTTCTGATGACATCAGTGGCACTAGTTTACAACTAACTGTAGCAAAGTGAATGTCTGCATTAAGAGGTTGCTCACAGGCAACAGAATGAACTTTGGATACTGATTTGCCCTGGGAACTGACAGTGTTTTCCTTGTTTATTACAGAATTGGTCATGCCACCACATGGTTCTTTTATCTACTAAAGTGTTTAAGCAAATGTCACCTACATATCAGCTTTGTTTTAAAAATGTAGAGGCTATTCAGACCATTAATGGAATCTGATGCATTTGTCATAGACCAAATTCTTGCACATAAAATCCTTAAAAAGTTACTCAACTACAAACTGTACGAATGCTGCTTTTCTCTACAGCAATCAATTTATTTAATAATTTATAATCAAAACATGGAGACTACAAACCCCAGTCTCTATCTCCCTCTTAGCCACCCAATACTAGCCATTTATCTGTTTAGTTTTGTAATACAGTACAAACATGTGATCAACAACTTCCATACTATTTCAGAAAAGGCAAATTCCTATAATGTCAATGAAAATATAAATTTACTAGGTATAGGTGAGATCATATTTATCCCTAAGACACTGTTGCATGACCCCAGTCCTACATCCAAAACACAAGTTAAACCATAATTTAGACAGAAGGAACTGTTGACAATTCTGCTGGTATCTATCCTGAGGTGGTGAACTCACTCAATTTAGTTACTATGTTTGAACATGCAGACAAGGAAAGGAAGAGCTGAAGTGGAAACTGATGAGGTAACGACATACATATTCAACGTGTGAATAAACACAATGCAATTCTACAGGAGTATGACTTGTGAGTTTCAGGGTTTTATTATCAAAGTCCTGTAAAACAATTTCAGAAACTGTACATCAACATGGCACAGATGGTAGCCTACTTTTGTTTTTTACTGCACAAAAGTGAAGCTTCTAACTCCTGTAACTAAGAAAACAGTTATCTACCTAGTCTGCATATAACATGGAATCACTGTGCATAAGATACCACTGCAATCAAAGTAACACAAATTTATTGGTTTTGTACAACTTGAGATCAAATAAAAGTACATTATCAAGATTTGTCGTATTTTAAAAGCACATGAAGGTCAATTTAAAATGCACCACCACCTCCTCTTGTTCAACAGTGAGCTTTAAAACAAAAGTTGAAAACTGAAAATCAGGACGAGGTCATTTTCTTCTAGTGATGGACTGGATAAGCAGGTTGCGTTCACTGGTAGAGATGTGAAATAAATTATTGGAAAAAAACATAAGTAGCTATGAAAAAGTGAACAACTCTAATTCAAAACATCATATTTTACAGCCAGTTTTATTTGAAAATTTTTTTCCTGTAATTTAAAGCCTACTTAGCCATCAAAAAAGGTTAGTGCATATATAACCTTTGAAAGTTAAACAAAGCCACAAAAATTTAGCCACAAGGCTCAAAAGGCTTATCTATCACAAATGCTTGTTTCCAGATGTAACTCTAAGAATGTTAATTTGTCATGTCAACAAGTAAGACCATTAAGTAGGTCACCGTGTTGGAGGGTTTCATGACATTTGGGGTAACATGCAATCAGTGCATTCCCTACATGGCTCTATCACGGCAAGGACTCAAACTCTAGAAATACTCTAAGTGAACGCACTGAGGATCATACGACAGAGACAATCCATGCCTGCTGGAGATGCATGCAGCTGTTCATTTGTGTTAGAAGCAGCAGTTGCACAGCTGCTTGGTCACGCAAATGGATATCACCATGGCAGTGCTGGTCACCCAGGTACCACTTTCTAAAAGCTTTTGCTGTAAAGAACTAGAGTTCACAATCGGGTGTTCTGCAGCCATTGGTAATGTGCAGCTGTATACACCTTGGTGAGATGAACACACACAGCATTAGGTATCATGAGGAATGATACCGAGGCCCATCTGTAGCTAGCTTCAGGGGCTCAGTCACTCATATCCATGTCTTCTTCGTGGTGATCATCCCCATTTACTTTGGACTCTCGCAGGTCACCTATCCCCTTCTCCACAGAGCACTCCTTTGTTTTAGGGGACATTGCTTCTGTTGGTCTCTTCTCCTCCTTCTTCTCCTTCTCGCTGTCATAGCCCTGCTCTTCTTCATCATAATCCCGTGTCACCTGCTTTGCCAAGGAGAATGGAAAAATAAGCTTCTTCAAAGGAAAAGCACTTCTTAAAAACAGGGACAGCACCTCAGTGGCAGTGCCCTGGCCTGTGTACTTACTTTGACGTCTTTGTCGCTCTCAGACTTCCTTTCGCGCTCCTTCTCCTTGTCTTTGCTCCTCTTCTTTTTACTTGTTGATCGTTCCCTTTCATCCCTACTTCTTTCTTTGTCCTTATCTTTTTTCTTCTCTTTTTTATGTCTAGAAAGAATGACAGTTAAAATGTGCTTATAAGAGCTACTTTGCAGGAACTTCTGGCAGTTTTATTCCTAAGTAGGCAACAGGTCTTACTCTGCTTAGATGATGATCTTATTAACCAAGCTCACTAGAAAGATCACAAAGAGCCAAATCAAAACATCAGACAATCAAAGAATCTAAGCTGGATACAGGCCTGAAGTGCTAACCCTCCACCCCCAACAAAGCACATACTGAAAATCTCTAGAGAATAATGCCTTAATTGCCCCCCACAAATTAAAGTGTATGTAAGAAATCTAGCAGTTTAAAAAATTTATTAGTCCCAAATATTACGAATCATAGGTATAAACAATTGATACCCCTACCTCCGTGGAGATGGTGAGCGAGACAGCTTTCTTTTAGGAGACCTGGGCTTTTTAGGAGACCTTGTACCACTCCTGCTTCGCCGCCGTCGTCTCTCCCTAGAATCACAAATGTGCAAACTAGGCTTTAAAATATAGTGTGGTCTCACTAGCTCCATTAGAACTCCCACAGCCCAAAACCTGCCTCACAATACTGCTTTAGGCCAAAACAATCTCAAGCTTAAGAAAAGACTAATGAGATGGATTGATCTGCAAGGAGTTGGGGAAGGTATAAATCCCTTACCTTATTAAATACAAAAATGAGTGTTTTTACTTTTTTTTTTTTTTTTGGTTTTTCGAGACAGGGTTTCTCTGTGTAGCTTTGCGCCTTTCCTGGAACTCACTTGGTAGCCCAGGCTGGCCTCGAACTCACAGAGATCCGCCGGCCTCTGCCTCCCGAGTGCTGGGATTAAAGGCGTGCACCACCACCGCCCGGCGTGTTTTTACCTTCTTAATGGAATTTTTTGAGACACGGTCACATAATACAGTCCAGGTTAGCCTTGAATTTGGCATTATCCTGTCTTAACTGCCAAGAGCTGGGTTATTTATGGGTGTGTGCTGCCATAGTTTGGTAGTTTTTAAAAGATAAAAATAAAAAATAGCCTTTCATCTAGTGCTGCAGTTTTCTATGCCTCATTGGAACCAATGCCAAATATAAGGACACCAAAGCTTATTTTCATTTTCTTCTCCAAATTTTATATTATTGGTTCTCAAGTCTTTGATCTGCTTTTCAGTCTTTAAAAACCATGGCACAAACCTTCTGGTATATTCATATAAGATAAGTGCATCCGAGCATGTCTGAGCAACATATGATTGAAATTGAGTTGAACATTAAGAATATATTTTCTATGAAGTTTGCCATATCACTTCCATTTTCTGTGTAATAATTTACACTATAGTCAAAGAATGACACATTCTTGCCTCCCATTCACTTATCACGAAACTACTATATGGAAGTAAACATTCTTGAGCATAATACATAAATATGGTAAGCATCACAAATGAAGCCTCATTTTCTCAACATCGAGGTATTTGTCTGATTCTGGAACATCTGTGTCCTACTGAAAAACAGTCATCCCTCAGGCCTCAGGGTGCTGCTGCCTTACCTGCTTGCACTTCGAGAGCGTCTGGCTGTACTGTAGCTTTTTGGTGGAGTTTTGGAACGTTTCTTTTCTTTATCTTCTTTCTTTTTGTCTCTAACAAACATAATTTAATAAAGTGAAGAAAGACTAATACTTCATTCCATGTAATCTCACTTTTGTTATGACACATGGCATATGTGTGATAAAATAATTTCTCTAAGCCTTCCATTTTCTTGATAGTTCACTTAGAACTTATTTCCAATAGTAAAGTGGCCTAAATGCTGAGAAATTATTTAGAATGCTGGCCAGTTTTTTGTGTTTGGTGCTGAGGTCAATGGGCTTAACTGCTGTCGCTGGGTCCTTTTCACTTGATTACAAGTTCCTGAACTCTGTCACAATGTCGGAAACCAACAAAGCACCACAACCAGTCACTCTTTCCTTCAATGAGCACATGCCCAAGAAACCCCTATCACAGACTAACCAAAGTTTGTACCTTTTTTTTGCTACTGCATATTCTGGGCTAATCAGTTGCCATCTGAAAACTCTCCTGCCACAATGGTTAGGTAGGTACTACAACCACACTCAATTCCAAAGCTCTTTACAGGTCCTTCCCATTCATTTCTATTTAAATCCCACAGTACACATTCTCCACCTTGTCTCCTTCCTCCTCTGGTTCTTCTGCTCCAGCAGTCATCTTCTCTTGCCAGACAGCCTTTATCACCAACTCTCCTAATGGGCTTCAGTATACCTTCTCAAGTACACCATCCACTGTTAGTCTTTCAAAGCACGAGTGAGTGCTATACCACAATGCTCTCCCTTCAGTAACTGATCAATACACCTGAATTTATACAGCTATCACTTAACATTGTTCCTTCCCATTTGACTATCCCTTGCTTTCAATAGAAAGTTCTTAAGGAAAGGAATGCCTGATTCCTTCTCTGTGTATGGAAACAGTTCCTTTCCAATCAGTTAAGGTACATGCTCACCAATGATAAATGATTGGGGGGTGGGACAAAAGGGAACTACTATAACTTCAGTTATTGAAGACTAGACCATTGACTTAAAAAGAATTTGTCTGTATATGAAAAAATGTGTTCTTTTTTAAAAGATACATTTACTTATTTTTAAACTTGTATGTATTTATCTCCATGAATTTACGTGCACCAGAAGAAGGTGTTGGATCCACTAGACCTGGAGTTACAACTAGATGTGAGTCACTTGATGTCAGTTCCAGGAATCAAATCCAGGTCATCTGTAAGAGCAGCAAGTATCCTTAACTCCTAAGTCATCTCTCCAGCCCCAAGACTAGTTAAAAAAAATGTTATTTTTAAGTTTGGGGGAAAATGCCACTCTCTCTTTTCTTATAAATCCTCAATTAACTTTATTGGTCAGATCATGGGACAAAAGACTTTCTCTAATATGGCTCCATGTTCAGACCATAAATGATCCTTGAGGAATGTTCCCAATCAGTAATGATGACATAAAGGTAGATGAACACAGTTTGGAGCTCCTTGGCACACGACAAGAGAGGTCTGGGAGTCCAGAACTCAGACCCACAGCAGTGGTTGAATAAAAAAGAGGAAAGCCAATGAGGTAGGTGACAAGGGTAGCCAAAAGAATTTATTACTTAGAAATGTTATAGGGGCTAGAGAAATGGCTTAGCAGTTAAAAGCACTTATTGCTCTTTCAGATGACCTGGGGTTCAATTTCCACTGTCCATGTGGCAGCTCATATGTAGCGCTAGTTCCAGGGGATCCCATATACTCTTCTGGCCTCTGTGGGCACCAGGTATGCACATGGTGCACAGACACACATGCAGGCAACACCCAGACACATAAATTTTTAAAAATGTGAAAAAAAAAGTGTCACACCTTCAGCTTGGCAAGAGATAAGAAACCAACAGTAGCCCCCTCCCACACCTCACCTACGCTGCAACAAGCAAAGCATAGCACTAGGGTCTCAGGAACTATGGCTGCTGCCTCTGTCTGTACTGTACAAATATACCTGGCTTTGGACGTGCTCCTTGACCTTCTACCCCTCTCTCTGGAATGAGATCGTCTCCGTCTTGGACTTTTGGATCTCCTTCTACTTCTAGACTTGGAGTGTGACCGCCTCCTTGACCGGCTTCGTGACCGCCTGAAAATGTAAATTAGTAATATATGTGCATATAGATCTAAAATACACAAAACATCTACCTCAGAGATATGAGCTTTGTATCAAACATTGGAGAAAAATTTCCTTCCCTTTAACTGCTGTCATCATTCAGCCCAGTTATCTTCCAGACCTCAGAGATTACTCATACATGTGTTCATGTGCACGCACTTTGTGCTTGTGTATATGACTGTGAGTCTATGCAGGTACACATGCATTCTATAAGCTGATGATGCCAGAAGATTCCATAACAAAAATATAACCTGCTAAGAACCAACAGATACAGGTAATCTAAACTGCGTATGTGAAGGATAAAGCATATTATCCCTTAAGGAAAACAAATCTGTTGTCAATAATCTGGCTATCAAGAAAAAATAAAAGATGTAAAAACCTGATACTGCTAGATAAGAGTTTTCTGATTCTTTGGTTTTATGATAAAATCTGAGGTGATTAGTAAATGCCATTTCATAGAACTGGGTAGCAACCAGAAATCACATCAAATTGGGGCAATTTACCAAAGAATAGTTATTAAAATTACCTGAAAATATTAAAACCAACTCTCCTTTTTCTAACTGCACAGCCATGAGCCTAGGTTTTAAAATATGTGTGAACAAGGCTGATTATGATCAAAATAAACTGTATGAAATTCTTAAAGAATAAAAACTTATATTAAAAATATGTGAGCTAAGCACGGTGGTATGGTCTTTAATTCCAGTACTTGGAAGAAGCAGGTGGATCTTTGAGTTTGAGAGTAGCCTTGCCTACATAATGAGTTTCAGGCCATCCATGGCTAAGTACTGAGACTCTATCTCAAAACAACATACTCCCTTCCCAAAGAAAACAAAAAAAGTAAACACAACTATAGTGTAAAAATTTGAATGCAAAATACAATTTCTACTACTAAGCTAAAACTTTAGGTTGGTGAAGTACACCAAATCTTTTTCATCATCAAGTGTTTTGGGGGTGGTTAAGTGTTTTTTGCAAAGCTCTGTAAATGAGATGAGTTAGCTATTATGATAGCTTCAATTTGTAATATGGTCAGATATAATCCACATAAGCTAAACTTTATTGATTTCATTTTTTAAAGTGTAAAAGCTAAAGATTCTTAAGTTTGGAGGGAGACCCACTCAGTTACAGAGAACCTTATGTATTCACAAAAGGGTATACAACAACTGTGGGAGGTAAGAACAGATTTAGCTCTAACTCTTGCTATGTAGACAGCAATACTACTAAAATTACAAAGTCAGATCAAGAACACGTTTTAAGTTTTCTGTTCTTTTCATATAATTATGGCATTTTAGTGTTTAAGTCTCAAAGCTTTCCTACCAGTGAAATGTCCTTAACTGCTTTGGTTTTAAGTAGGAATCACCTGTTCACCTAATACCTTTCTCCTAATATGCTCAAAGCAACTCCTCCCTCTAACACTCACAGCAATGATTAATGATTAGACCCACTTTACATAGGAGGTGGTCCTTAAGGTACAGCTGATGGTCAGGAGGAGGCTGCTAACCTGTGCCTGGAGGATGAGGGGGTCCTCCTCCTCCTCGAGCGCGACCTTGATCTCGAGTGTCTTCTCTTTTCCTCCTTCTTGTCTAGATTTAAAAGAAAAGGAACTTGTACTAAGAAATGCTTAACCAGAGGTATATGTGTGAGGTTCAGGAATGGAATTCCAGTCTCCTGACTGTCCAGAGCACATCTACCCACTGAGCCATCTTGCTAGTCTTCCAAGAATTCTTTGTCTTTATTTCAGTCTTTCTAAGATACTTTCAAATGCTATAAGTGATCATCTTATGCACAGACTCATCAGGAAGCTTACTTTAGTGATATGAATTACCTCAACTTTCAGTAAATCCTATGGCAATTTGTAATTGCTAGCTAAGGTTTCCTCCACTATCTAATCTGAATTGCTCTGGAGGGCCCAAGCATCCCCACAAGTCAATATACTAAAGGCTATCTTTTTTATTCTTTTGTTTTCTGATTTGTTCTTCAGAAGGTTCCACTGCATCTTTTCCTTTTTCCTTTCTGAGGGTGTTCTACAAATATACCTACAATTCAAGTACATTTTGATTTTCAATTCTTGACCCAATGAAATGTTCTCATCATACATGTTTGTGTGTGGGTATATTTAGAGTACCAAGAACACTGTCTTTACCACCTAAGCATTTATGTTAAAATTCTAATCCAAAGTCATGACTCATTATCTTGTCACTGTACCTCAGTGACAGAATCTGACTGACTTTAGGAAGACAGCTTTTCCATGATACATTCCCATTCTTCCACTGCCATTTTCAATTGTACTGTACTAAACACTTAAGGAAAACGGTTTCAGTTCCAAAATACCAAATTTCTTTCTTCAGGACCTAGGAGGCAATTAAAGCCACTGCCCTTTTCACATGCACACCATCATCAAAATGATGCCAACAATTCAGTTAGGTGATTTCATTCATGGGCTTTAATTTACTGTGAATGCCACAAAAAAGCCACATAACCACAGAATTCATTGTAGGCTAGCCAGCGGTGGTGGGCCACACCTTTAATCCCAGCTCTTGGGAGGCAGAGCCAGGCGGATCTCTGTGAGTTTGAGGCCAGCCTGGTCTACAGAGCAAGATCCAGGACAGGCACCAAACTACACAGAGAAACCCTGTGGGGGGGGGGGGGGGGGGGGGGGGGGGGAGATCCATTACAGGCAAGTCACAATCATTTCAGCCTCAGTTTTCAACAGAAGCAGTTAGAGCATAAAAACTCTAAGAGAACCCAGCTGTACATCTAAGACCTCTATTAATTACTTGACACCTTAACAGATGATATGCTTAAAGTATTTGCTATCAGTTTATTCTTTATACTTAAAAATTACTTCCTAAGTAATAAATAAGAACATTTCCACTTACTAAGGGAGTAAAAACAAACAAACAACAACAACAAAAAAAAATCAAACATTTAATTGGGAAAATGTGCTTCATCACCACAAATTCACATATATAAAAAGAATATACACTAGGATAATTCATTTAATCAATCTCAAAAAGACAATCTATCCAGAGCTAGTTTAGTGGTGGTATACTTGCTTAGCATCCACAAGCCTCCAGGTTCCTTCTCAGCAACTCCTACCATACACCCAAAAGAATCTGACTGAAAACTCTATTACATGTTCAGTCTCTCAGACTATAAAAGACTTAAAACAATGACAACAACAACAACAACACAACAACAAAAAACCAAAACCAACCAAACAAAAAAACTCCAAGAATATTATTCAACAACTTCTACATTTAGGCCATTACCATCTTTACCAAGAACCACAATTCAACATTCAAGGAAAAGATATATGTGCATATTACCTGGCTCAATAGCGGCAGAAATCAGGGATTGGGCCTCACGCACCCTCTTCATGGCTTCCTCTATTTCTTTACTAGAGGTGTCTGACTTCAGACTTGGTGAAACAAGACCAGCAGCTACATGATTCAATCTAAAACAAGCAATTAAGAAAAGAAATAGTTTAAAATCTATCTTTTAGACTGCAGATGGAGAAACTGAGGCAGTGGCCAACACCTCACAAAGTTGCACATGAAATCCTGACCACAAAGGTTAAAGATCTATCTGCCTTTAAGTATTTACACATACAAGAAAAACAAAACAAAAAAAAAACAAAAGAAAACCACTAAAACAAACCAGACAATAGTAATCCATGGGGAGAGTGAGATGTCATCAAGAACAGGCACAAATAGTCCTTGAGATGGCTCAGCAAAGAAACGCTCTTTCTGCAAAGCCTCATAACTGTGAATCAACTCCTTAAAACTGCCCTAACCTACACACATACTGTATAGCTTGTATGCATGCAAAGCCCCCTGCCAAACAGATTTTTAAAAAAATAAAAAATTACTTTTTTTAAGAGTGCTGGGTGTGGTGGCACACTCCTTTAATCCTAGCATCTGAGAGGCAGAGGCAAGAACATCTCCAGGAGCTCGAGGTCAGCCAAGGCTATATAATGAGACCCTGGCTCAATATAAAACAAAACCCCCCAAAAACAAAACAAAAACAAAATAAAATAAGGGTGGGCACAAGAGCCTATAATACACTGGTACTACTGATTATGTTGGGCTATGGGGACAGTAACCACAAAGCCAAACTGATCATTTCCTTTCCCATGCTATGTTCTCCCACTTACTAATAGTGACTTTGACCAACGTCAGGGGACATGGAATAGAGTTTCAATTAGTTTACAGAGGGAAGAAGCCCCATGAATGTCACCATCAAACAGAAAAGAATTCCAAGTACTGTGTAAAAAAGCACCTGTAAGTACATGGTAGTGTTAGTCACCTAATAGGCACTTTCTTCTCAGTCTAACTTTTCCTATTCCCACCACGCTCAGGGCTCAGCTTCTGATCTAAGTTTTCTCTGTGGCACCTTCCCCTGGCACCTCTGTACTTTTCCCATTTGAATGCACATAGTCTGCTACAATGAATGTAATACTGACTACAGAAAAATGTGTATTTATTGGATTCTTTTTTTTTTTTTTTTTGAGTCAGGATCTTCCTATGTAGCCCGAGCTGGTCTGGAACTTACAGTTCACATGTCTCTGCCCACCCCTCCAAGAGCATAGACTAAAAGTGTGTGCCACCATGCCTGGCTCTAATTTGTATTTTGTATGAATCATCAAAACACAACTTTCATGCTATCCTATCACTCTGTAACAAGCCACTTACGATTATTAGGAAACAACCAAAACAAAACCCTGAATATTGGGACCTATTTTTGGACTTCCTTTCTTGTTTCTACAATGTGATACATAAAAATGTATTAAGAATGTCCTAAGAATAGCTAACTTTCTTCTGTTAACACTATCTGTTCTACAATGTAATATGTAGCTTATGTCCTAAGAATAGCTAACTCTCTTTTTATTAACAGTTAACTCTTTTCAAATTGGTGTAGTGGTCTATGCCTGGGGAGGTAAGGACAGGAGTTTGAGGCCAGGCTGGACCACACAGTGAATACATGGCAAGGCTATGTCATATAGTGAGACTTATCTCAAAGTGTTCTCTAGACAGTTACACAGTATATAACCAAAGGAGACAAAGAAGAATGCTTACTTGGGATCAACGGTACTCATAAGCTTCAACAGCTGGTCTGTAGCAAGAGACTTAAGAAAAAAGAAAAAAAAAAAGGTAAGTACAGTGAGCACACAGAACTGAAAAGTGATAGTGATTTTATTTTCTTAGTTTGTTGAAAAGTTCCAAGACAAACTAGCAAACAGTGCAATGCTCTGTGTACATCTTTGACAAACAGATAAATTCAAGCTAAGAATCGTAACAGGTGATGTTTGTGGCTACAGCTGTGGAAGAGGAGGGTAGCAAGTTATCAAGAGCAAGGCTGAGCAGCCCAGATTTATAGGATCAGCTCTTGGTTATTCCAAAGACTTAAGAGGAAAAATGGTTCGAAGAACCAGAAAACAAAATCCAAAACTCCTTAGAGTAGCAGAATACCTCCAAAAAGTAAAGATTTTAAAACAAAATATTCCTTAAATGTGTAAAGAATTAATGACTGATGTAATTCAGTGGTCATTTAAATCCCCTTCAAACAAGTTAACAGAATAAAAAAAAATTACTCCAACAAAAGCAGCTAACCCTTTCTTTGAAATACAAACAAGTTTAATGAAATAATCCCCTACCAAAGCAAGCTTACAGTGTGAGATTACCTGAGAGTTCAAGTTTGTTCCTGGAAGCCCAAGAGCAGCAAGGGCAGGATCAAGAGCTGGAGCTCCCAATGCAGCCAGGGGAACAGCGCCAATCTGCAATGGTCAAAGTTTTCTTATATAGAACTTAACTTTCTGTACTGGATCACACATTATCTTTTTCATCTACACAGGTTACGTGTGCACTGTTGCAACAGCTCAATGGTATAAAACCATTACTGCTATGGTTCAAATTCTGTCGTCTACAATATGACAAACAATATACAAATAACTGGACATAGCCATGTCCCAGTAAAATATATTATCGACAGAAATGAAGGTTGTGGCCTGTAGTTTGTCAAATAATGGTCAGCCTTCCATTCCTTACAAAACATTACCTTTGAAGATTTGCAAGAAAAATAAACCTTTCAACAGAGCTCTAGTGTATGCCAATTTTAAGTACTCATTGCATCTTCAACACACACTTGCTGGCTGTTCTGTCCTGCTCTGTGATATGATGATGACAGGACCCTAAGTACTGTTCTTCTGAGTGCTGTCAACTGATTGTTATATGGACACTGACTGAGGTAGAGGGCTTCTTTTGAGAGCTTGTATCTTGTCTTCCCAGTGAATTTTTTAGCATTATCTCCTAGAGCAGATTCCACAATGAAACACTCAGCTATACTTTCAAAGTGCAAATCTCAGCACTAAGTCCTCTAGTCAAAATGTTTCTTTGTGTTCTTGCTCTGCAGTATTGTTCCTCATTGGGACTGCTATACACTCATTAGATGTGTAGTAACCTTCTCCTATTCACTAATCATCCTGTTTCCTATTTATATTACTAAGATCCTGTCATCTTCCTGACACAATTTTTATTAAAGCACAATTAAATCAACACAAACATGTAACATCTTATAGAGGCAGTTTGACTTTGCATACAATCATGATAAAGTTCACCTAGTATTGCCCATCACTACCTCACAAACACCAAATACGACCACCCTTTCAATGGCTTAAGTACCTGGGTAAGTGGGTTGGGGGTAGGCAGGAGTCCACCACCAGGCAGAAGACCTGCCACTGCATTAGCTGGTGCCAACAGAGACAAAGCCTTAGTCTCATCAGGAATAACTCCTGCAGAGAAACATCCTTGCATGAGAACACACCCTCTTGTAAGACAGAAAACACACAAAAACACCCAGAAAAAAGTCTCCCTGATACACCACCTGAGTTTGTTGAAAGTACTTATGTTCGCTAAAATATAAAGTTTGATGTCTATGATTATTTATCATTAATTTATGTCAGAATGAAACTTCAATGTGTGAAAATTTGTTTCCTTTTTCTCTACAATGGTTAAGTTTCTAGAGTAAAAAAAAAATAGCACAATACACACTACTGTTTTGTTAACACTGCCAAGATTTCATCACCTGTACTCGATTTTTAAGTCATGAACCAAACGTAAGCAAGCACAGTCGGTTCTCCAGGGGTGTGCTCTCAACTTTCAAAAGCTGTTTTATGAACAACGACTCGTGTCGGCTGCTTCACTATAAAGCACACAGAAAAATCAAGATACACAAGACAAAAAAAGTTTGATTTAGGGGTTAATAATATGGTACAGTTACTATGATTTTCTTTACACCTACCATACAAATTTTGCAAAAATTAAAAGAAGGAAAGTATGTAAAAGAAATATTCTGTTGGAATCAAGAGTAGGGCTTTTGCTGACACATGACATGAATATGAATGTTTCTGAAGGTCTCTGAATACACAGGGAAAATGTGTGTAGGGGGACCGGGGGAAAGAGGAGGGGAGTGAGGGAGGTACAGAGAGAGAGGAAAGAGAGGAAGAGGGGGAGAGGGAGAGAGAGAGAGAGAGAGAGAGAGAGAGAGAGAGAGAGAGAGAGAGAGAGAGAGAGAGAATAGGTAAAACATGGCACATTCCTTACCTGTACAGTAAAATGCTTTAGGTTCCAATATGTGCCATGCTAACCATATCAAAAAATGTTGCTATGTAGTGTCAGTTCAATATCTAACTTGTCCAAAATTCCTTAAGCCCAAAACCACATGTATGCCTGCTTTTAAAGCCTAATCTGTGTATTCAGATAAAATCTAAAGGTCCTAAGACAATTTATGTAGACAATTTAAATTCTATCCAACAGCAAAAGCCCTATACAGATGGATTAATCTGTTAATGTGCCCAAGCCCCCAAAATGAGAGTTCAATAATACAATTAAACTACATATTTGCAAATACCAGTAGTATTTCTGTAATACATATTAAGAAACTGCATCTCATCATAAAACATACAATATGTACAGGGCACTTAAGAGAAACTGGATAAGCTGCAGAAGAAAACTGTTGGGTGGTATTTTCAGCAGGGCCTGGTATATAGTTCAGGCTGAACCAGGGAAAAGAACTGTAAAACACAACAACAAAAAAGAAAAACCACTGTTAAATAAAGGTAATGGTTCCTTCCACCTACACTGAGAAGTGCCGATAATATAAACAAATGTATACTACACAGCACTGCTATCTTGCTTGTGTCAGAGCTGTCATCAATTTAGATACCAAGAGTTATGGAGGGAAGGGGAGAAGATCATTTGGATATAGGGCATTAATGCATCAATATTAACAAACCTACAAAGATTAAGGGATAATTTTGCATGCAAAATTATGTCTCAAGAGGATATATTAAGTATCAACATCTTACTCAAATTAGTGCATTTGCTACATTTCTGGCAAACTAAAATCCTCTTGAATTTATTGTGAGACACCTGAGAGAAGATCTGCATCCATTAAAAAAGTCATGCATCTGATCCTCTGATTAAAAAAGGACTAAAAGTAAAACTACAATTTAAAAATAGCAATGAGGCCCCTCACCAGTTAATTTTCATGCGTCAAGAGTATTTTTTTTACTGCTGCTTTGATAGAACCATGAAATACTGCATGAATGTGTAGAAATGAAAGAAAAAGAAACAGACAAAAGAAACAAACATTAACCAAGGAACCTAGATGCCCCCAAATCTATTACTATTAAGAGCACCTTCCACATCCAGCTATCTCTACATTTTACCAAGTAAGACTATTCTTACCGTATACTTTTGGTCTATTGTTCTAACACACTGACCAAGAGCCAAAGTGTTAAGGGGCTAAAACCAGAGTGAATGGCGACAAAGGGATTGAACACATCAGTTTACTTGTGGAGGTAACATTAATACAGCACATCATACCACAAATTAAAAGCAGCAAAAACAGATTTCTGAACTAAGTATTTCTATAGCTCTATATACACTCCCCCAAAACCTCACTTTCAAATACATATCTACAAAAATTACTATGGCTTAAAATAGTTATAAAAACCCAGTTATATAATATACTTATATTCTATCCCAGGCTCATTACATTTATGGCTAACTGAAGCACTCTGCACATTACTCACATGGCATGACCGTTTCAAGACCTACTGTCTACTTTACTCATCCTGAATTGAGTTCTGTAAGTTCTGTTGGTTTAAGGTGGTGGTTAAGTCTTATCTTATAAGAGGCACACTGAAATAAAAGGAATTGCTTATCCAAAATACACTAAATCAGGTTCTTTCTGTCTTTTCTTTCATAGAAACATTGTTACTAGCCTCACATCTCACATATTTTAATACCTTGGTAATAGATACACTGTTACCAAAATAACATGCCGTAACTCATCTCTGAATATAATTTCTTTATAAAAACCAGAGGCAATTCTCTATGGTTAGACATTTCACAACTTTAACAAAGTTATGATGGCAAATCTTCACATTTGTCTTCAATTATCTAAGAAGCATCTAAAAAGCAACAATTACAAAATACTGCTTCCACTGACCATTTTATTAAAGGGGAAAGCATGTAGATCCTGGACAGTATATTAAGTTATTAAGTTAAAATTCAGTAAGTATATCATGGCAATGATTTCCCCAATAAAGATTTATAGTTACCAAAAGCAAAGCAAACAGCAGTTCACTGGGAACAAGCTAACTGTAAAATATGCCTTAGAAAAGTTTTACAAAATGGCATTAAAATAGTGCTGTCCTGTCACAGCGGCTTTTTTTAGATCCAAAAACCTGCTCATTTTTTTTCTGTCAAATTACTTTAACAGCCTAAAACGTAAAAAGAGAGAAAATGCAGTTAACAAATGGTGACAGCAGGAAAACACTTGGGGGCTCGAGTGCTCGCTGGTTTAGTTTAGTGTCTAGAGCCTGCAGCTGCAGAGCACCCACTGTGTCCAGCCATCTGGGAGGGTTTTGCATGTGCCTTCTCCACTACAAAAGTCACACACACAACAGAGAGAAGAGTTCATTATTTTGAGATATTCTAGAAAATATAACAAGAACAAGAAAATCTGGCATAAAAACAAACACCCAGTGCCCATTTGGCACCTAAACTATAGGAAATCTTAAACTTTTACAAAACTAAAATTATTGTAACCCTTGGTATACTGGAATTTAATGTGGGGGTTTTTGTTTTAAGTTAGGAGTGAGTGAGAGAATCAAGGAAATAAAACTGACTTAGCTATTGATTTAGAACAAAAGCATCATGCATTTATTTGAAGATTTCTGTGTGAGAGTGACACAATATGATTCTTTACCTTTGGGACTTCTTAACAATAATATATCTCAGGGTTTCAATTAGGAATTTGATTTTAATAAACTTAAAAACATTTTAAAGATAGCAAAAAGTTAATTACCTTATAAAACAGACCTGATTTCTAAGTTTTAAAGTAAGAAAAAAATCTCCAAGTAAGAATTATGGAGTGCAGTATATCAAGGGTTTCAAATTAATGCTCAGAGTCTAACACGCTAGTGATGCTTACTCTACACCTACACTGTGGCCGGTGGCCAGGCAAGGGTGCCCACATAGGTAGTGAAACAAAGCACAAACCTTCAGCATATGGAACGACTATCAAAGCTCTGTCAACGAACACAGTGTTTGTCAGATGCTGTGCCACAACTGCTGAGTCTGGATCATGGAACTTAACAAAGCAGACACGAGAGGAGACTGGCAAAGGCGAGTCACTAAAAGATAAATGAATAATGTTAGAGAAAAGTGTATTGGCTTCAACACAGATATATCACCAAAAGGACAACGCTCATGTAAAAATACAGAGATACATGTTAATTTATTTTAACCCATTAAAAAGAGAATGTCCCGATGACCTAACAGAATGAGATGCAGTACAGATACGCTCTTATAATCGCCACTTAAATTATAACACAGCAGTTTAAAACTATTTCTTAAGTCAGTGAAACAATGATATACCATTTTAGTGGCTGTGCACACATGTGCTTGAGTTGCTCAAACCCAGGGTAGGCACTGAACCACATGGCTCCTCATCCTCAGTTCTAACAGCAACTATTTTTAAATACAAGTGAGAGTTTTGGCTTAGAAAGTTTTCACTATAGCTAATCTCTCTGTAAAAATGATTGATTGTTTCAAAGGTAAAATACCATAGAAAAGTACATCTAAGCAGGCACAATGGCACAAGCCTGTAATCCCTAGCACCCAGGAGGCTGGGACAGAAACTCAAGTTCCAGACCAGCTTAGGCTACACTGAAACCTTGTCTCAAAACATCAAACCATGCCAAGCATTCTTGACCTGAAAAATAAACTGATTCCACACCCTGACTCTACACCTATAGAATATATAGGAATTCTTAAGCACCTCAAACAAGGCTTTCTGATCTAAAACACCTTCAGAGAGAAGGAAAAAAATTAAGCATATACACAGCCACTTGACATGTTATATAGCACCTCCTCCCCATACTACACTTCAGCAAGTCAAGAGTACATTGCTTCCATAGACAACTAAATGGTAAAATGCAAGCTGTGACAGTGAAAAAGATGATAATGCCAAACAGGCTTTTAAAAATATATAATGGGGGCTGGAGAGATGGCTCATTGTTTAAGAGCATTGGCTGCTCTTCCGGAGGACCAGCGTTCAATTTCCAGCACCCATATGGCAGCTCCCAACTGCCTGTAACTCAAGTTCCAGTGGATCTAACTCCCTCACAAAGACATGCAGGTCAAACACCAATGAACACCAATTAAAAAAAAAAAAAGATATAATAGGCCAAATTCCTACCATTCAATTCTGTAAAGGCAAGGGTTGCATCCTAGAACCAGACAAGTAACTTGGAGACCAATTCTCTAAGACAGTAACAATCTCATAGACCTTGGCTGTGAGAAAACCATCTGTGGGGAAAACTCTACACAGGTTACCTGATAGCACCAATATCAATGAAATCAAGGTGTCTGATGAAGTAACCCCTTCCTTCTCCTTTAATTCTTCCTGACTTTGTGATATGAACTCCAGGTAGAGAACCAACCAACAAGGCAACTGCATCCACAAGGCTGAATGCTCAATGTTTCTAAAAGGATAAGGACTTCTTTTTGAGACAGAGTGTTATATAAGCTCAGGTTGGCCTTGGAAGACTCCTGATCCTTCTGCCTCCACCTTCCTGGTGCTGAGATTACATGTCTCAATGTTCACACTTTTTAAAAATGTGCCTAAAATTTGAAAAAAATTTTCAGTCATAAACAGTGAAAAATATGTTCTAGCACGAATGCTCAGGCACGAGTCTTGTTTTTTCCTATCACTGATTTTTCATTCTAATCATTAAATTTTAAAAGCTCTTCAAAATGATGTTATTTTTTGTTCTTAAAACCCACCAGAACACCACTTTAGGAAATTATAGGCATTCACGTTTCCTAGTCTTTAACAGCAGTAATTGTTGTCTAAAAAAACAAACAAACAAGCAAAAGCCAGTTCTTAGAATGAAGAAATGAGAAATGGCTCAGTGGTTAGGGGCACTTGTTCTTGTGGAGGATCCAAGTTCGACTCCCAGCACCTACATGACTACTTAAAACAACCCGTAATTCCAGTTCTAAGGGCTCCAGTGCACTCTTCTAGCCTCCATGAACACCAGGCATATGTATACATGGTATAGACACACATGCAAGCAAAACACTCATATACAGAAAAAGATCTTAAAAAAAAATTCTTGATGCAAAATAGTTTTTTTAAAAAATAAGAAAAGGGCAGTGTGGCGCAAGCCTTTAATCCCAGCACTTGGGAGGCAGAGCCAGGCAGATCTCTGTGAGTTCAAGGCCACCCTGGGCTACAGAGTGAGTTCCAGGAAAGGCGCAAAGCTACACAGAGAAACCCTGTCTCGAAAAAAATAAAAACAAAAAACAAAACAAAACAAAAAATCAGAAAATACTACCTTCCAGGTAACTACTTCTGATTTACCAAACATATTTTATTTTGTGTAAGGACCACATATAAAAGCATAAGTATCTTTACCCCAAGAAGCAAGGTAAAAGACTTCCCTGATGCTTCTGTCAGCTGAAAGAATTTAAAAATATCTAAGATGCATACAAAAAATTGTGAATCCTGGTGTTCACTACGTGCCCACTGAATCGGAATCCCTTTCCCAGGAGCAGAGACTTCATTCTTAAGATCCTCCTATTCACGGCCACACAAGTGTAAGAACTTGTGTTTTAGGCCATCACACTAACTTTTTTTTTTTTGGTTTTTCAAGACAGGGTTTCTCTGTGTAGCTTTGCGCCTTTCCTGGAACTCACTCTGTAGCCCAGGCTGGCCTCGAACTCATAGAGATCCACCTGCCTCTGCCTCTCGAGTGCTGGGATTAAAGGTGTGCGCCACTACCTTCTGGCCACACTAACCTTTTAACTCCACCTTAGTACTGTATCAGCCACTTCTAAGCAGAAGAATTTGGAGCTTATAAAGTAACTCCAAGGCCCCAAAAGCAGTACAGGTAATAAGAGAAACATTCATTTGAGAACAATTTCTGACTTCACATGCCTCTTCCTAACTATAGAATAGAATATGTAGCAATTCATTAAATCACATTTTTCTTGAAAAGTGAATTTAATTTTTCTCTATCTCTTGTATAAAGCTGTTTATAAAATCACTAAGATATTTACAGTTGGTCGATGAAAGCTTCTTTTTGTGTGTGTGTGTGTGTGTGTGTGTGTGTGTGTGTGTGTGTGTGTGTGTGTTGTTTTTATTATGTATACAGCATATATGACTGCAGGCCAGAAGAGGGCACCAGATGTCATTACAGGTGGTTGTGAGCCACCATGTGGTTGCTGGGAATTGAACTCAGGACCTCTGGAAGAGCAGTCAGTGCTCTTAACCTCTGAGCCATCTCTCCAGCCCCCTCGATGAAAGCTTCTAATGAACAATTTTCTATCTGCTGACAGTAGCCTTCAAGTACAGTATAAAGCTGACATGCTTCACTGGGATCCTTACCTGGATAAAACAACCCATTGTGAAACTCCTTTAAAACTAAACATTTCATTGCCCACTTCAAAAATGATACAGTGGACACCATGCTTATAATTATAGCACTTGGGAGGCAAAAGCAGGAAGATCCTTATTTGAGGTCAGCATGGGCTACCCCTCTCAAGAAACTCTTCCCTAGCCTGAATTGTTTTAGTTCGTGTATATGTGGCATACATACTTTAAAATGCAATGCTTAGTAACTCAAGAATATGGTGGTATTTTATTTGTACTGAAATGTGATTTTATTTGTATGGTAATAAATAAAGTTGCCGGGGGTCAGAGCTAGCAAGCCATAGCAGAGCTGGGTGGTGGTGGCGCATGCCTTTAATCCCAACACTTGATAGGCAGAGCTAGGTAGATCTCTGTGTGTTCAAGGATACAGCCAACAGACAGTGAGTGACGAGGCAGTCATGTGGTTGGTTTTACAACCAATGAGAAGGCAGAACAGAAAGTCTATATAAAGACAAACAGACAGAAAGTAGGTCTCTTTTGGAGATGTCTCTTGGCTTAAGAGGCTAGCTGCAGGAGGCGGGTAAGGCTCTTAGCTCTGACCTCCTGGCTTTCTTCTTTACATTGGTTCTGTGTTTCTTATATAATAAGATGGTCAGTTACATCTACATTTGGCGCCCAACGTGACAAGAATTCATTAAAAACCGCTTGACTTGGCTTGGCAGCAGGTCCGGTTTCCCGCCTGGGCAGCTGGCTCCCTAGCCCGGGCCCAGGTTGGCTTGGCCTCGGGCCGGACTGACCGTAGCCCCAAGCGGTTAGCTGGTGCTACAAACAACTCAGGTCTGCCCTGCCTGTAAAGCCAATGCACGTGGTTGGGGCTTAAGGAAGCCAGAGCCAAGGCTTGACTCAGCTCAAGCGGGAACACGTGGCTGATTAAGCTCTTAGCCAGAATTTGTGCCCCCCCCCTCTGGATTCACACCTCGGACCCTAGGTGGCTGTTTTGAAATTCCCTCAGATTTCTACTGTTCTATGCAGACTTGGTAAGTCACTTAACATATTTTAAAGGAAACTATTTAAAAGAGAAATTTTCTCCACATTAAAAAAAATGGGTTTTATGTGTACATTGGAAGAAAATTGGGCTTTGTTTGAAATTTTAGGTAGTCTGACAATGGAACAACTATATGAGAAGATTAATGTTGATCGAATTATGCAGTTTATTACTATGCTTATCCTCATTTTACTATTTAAAAGGATAGTCAATTTAAGTGCCAGGATAACAGTTTTAGAAAAACTTGTTAAACCTGTAAAAATGAATCATAGAGAAATTCAAATTCAGACAGAAGAAATTAAGTGAAGTTGTTTCAAGATTGGATCATAAGGTTACAGAAAGAAAGCCTGTTTTCACACAGTCACCCTTAATTTATCCGGTAACCGTACAGCAGTTGCCTAATCAAATGACTACACAAAATATTTGGGCTCCAATTGAAATGTTAGATTTACGAAGGTTTAAGGAGGCAATAGTATCTTATGGCATGCATTCCCCTATGTAAAGCAAATGTTAAACTCCTGGTCAACATATAATAGGATTATACCACAGGACTGATGGGAGCTGGTACAGGCTGTTCTTGAACCCAGTCAAAGGCTCCAGTGGCAAATATGGTTCAGGGATGAGGCTAAAAACATAGAAAAACAATGGAGGGATAAAGGAATACAAGTCTGCTAGGATCAGCTTATTGGAGAAGGCCAAAATGCTTCAGT